TGGCACAAAGGAGCCGTTTCTTCCTGCAGCCTTTAAGAGATGGGTTAGAAAAAAGCAGAAGAAAGTTCTCATTCAGCGAGTGCCAGGTTGTCAAGGTTTCCTCTGCTCTCAAACACACATTTTTTTTCATCTGGCAGACACAAGAGATATTTAAAACTGTTTAGTACAAAATAGAGCTTCAAAAGCAGCAATGTCTGTGGCAGACACAAGATGAAGAACAGAGCTCAGGACCTTCTGTATGAGGCAATGTTATCGTCATCATGGCTCACACAGGAGCATGATACCAAGTTTGTGCTCGGCTTGCCACAAAGCTCCCCTTGCACGAGTCTCCAAATCCTGTGCTGCATTCAGCCCAGCTGCCGGAGAGGCTGTGGGCTGGTTTAGCCCTGCCAAGGACATGGGTCAAGTTCAGTCTGCTGGCAAAGAAAGAGGCTTTCACGAAGTTGCATTTTCCAGCTTCCTTCCCCATTTACATTGCTTTCTATTTTAATAAACTGTGGCGTGATAGTGAAATCCCCTCGTGCCTGATGAGTGTGGATATTAAACCAACAATTAACAAAGCCAAACTGGGCGAGATTGGTCACTGCTTTCTTGTCCCAGTGGCCATCCTGCAGGGGATTACCAGTGCACTGATAGACAATTCAACTGATAAAGATTGAAGAGGCAGTAACATATAATTAGCATCGTCAACATTGTTTTCTGGAAAAATCAATCTCAGCCAAGCCTGATCTTGTTCTCCATTGGGAGCACAGGATGGGTTACCAAAGGTAACAGCACAGAGGTGAAAGGGGAGGCATCCAGCATGCAACTGCTGAGAATACAGCCAAACAGGATTAATAAAACGAGCAGATTCACATTTTAAAAGCTGAGAATCACCCAGACACCACTGACCCAGTAGGTCTGGTTTCATTTTCTGTGCAGACACTTGACCTTACAGAAGTGAGAGGGGATGTGGATGCAGCTGGAGAGTGAAGGGGGTGCACGAAGCGGATAGCTCCACTTCAAGCTTGGCTCTGCTGTCTCTGAGGGCTCAAGGCTGGAAGACCATGCATGGGGAACCAGCATACGTGGTTTGGCTGTCCCCTCTGGCCATCTTTCCTTGGAAGGAGGCTGTGGATGTGTTCTTAGTAGCTATGTGATTTAAATGCCTAACAACTAGTTGGGGGGAAGTCTCTGATGCTCAAGGCACACCAGTGTTTACCGCATTGCAAACCACCAGTCACATCCCTCTGAGACTGGTCATTCAGCCAGTTCTCAATCCACATCACTGTCCACTCACGCAGCCCACACCTGCCTGATGTTGTATGAGACAGTGTCAAAAACCTCACTGAAGTCCATGTAGACAACTGGTAGAGAGCAAATGAAAGCTCAGCAATATTAGTCTCTGAAAAAAAAAAAAAACAAAACAAGAAAAAAGCTTTCAGGCTTCCATCATTAACCATAAACAAGCTAAAAAGGCAACATGTCCCGCAGGGCTGGCAACCTCCAGTAAGCACCAGCATCTCACCGTGCCTAGCATCCATAGGGCTTCAGCCTCAGGGCTGCCTGACACCCAGCAGCCCTGGTTCCTGTGAGCCCTGGCTTCTTTGGCACCCAGCGCAGGCTCCCACACTCAGCACAGAGAACACAAGGGAAAGCAGTTCTATGCCCTGCATGCTTATCTCCTGGGTAAACCAGCAAGGCACTTTTGTTTATTGAGTGCCGATGAATGGCCACTGTCTTGGCTGTGAGATCGGTGTCCAGATCCCACTCTGGGCACAGCTGCTGGCAGGGAGCCCACAGCTGAGGCCACCTATTGCCGCAGGAGCCCTGCAGCAGAGTTTACCCCTTCATTCCAGGGAGAAATAGCTTCACAGCATCCCACCATCTGCATCTGCCCCTGTGCAGAGGTTGCACCAGGTTTATAGGGCACTGCAAGACAGGGAACATCACTGTCTTTCCTTGGGGTGTGTGGCCAAGCGACACCAAATGGTGCCATTTGCTCCAGGATTTTATGGTGCTCCCCACTCTCCACAGCGTATTTGTTCATCTGCTCTTCCAGCACTGGCAAACAACTAAGGGAAACCTGTGGCTGCACTAAGCTGCTTTTGGGGCCAGAAAGTTGAGATGGCTCCATGCCACCAGGCTGGAGGGTGAAGTGGACACTGAGGACGCTGTCATCTGCCTTGGGTCAAAATGAAATGGCCTGACCTGCAGGGAGAGTCATGGCATCTTGGGCTCACAGCCTTACAAAAAGCTGCCACAGGCTTCCTTCAGGGCCATGTTATTTTGGGCCCCCAAGAAACTGATGGATCCATTTGTGACTGCCTCTGCCCTCCAGCCATCACTGATGCACAACAGTTGTCACAAATAGCATGTTTCATCAGGAAAAAAAAAAGTTTTCTGCATTGGGAACAGAGAGAACTCAACATTTTCTGAAGCTATTTGTGTTTTTATTAGATATACCAAGGTTTACCCTTGGTTCAAGCAGAGAGCTGACAGGGTGGTGAAAGCCTGGAAATTTACAGCAGCTCAAGGAACTAAAAGATGAGGAATTAGCTTCCTGTTTTCCCAAGTCACTCACTCAATGTCTGCAGACAGCATCCCTCAAGTTCTCATGTCCCATGAGCTGAATCAGACCTACTCAACTCCTCCATGTGAGGCTGTCCTGTATCCCTTGTCATCAACCTGTAATCCCTTGTGGCCTCCTGTGACCCAGCATTTGATGGCCACGTAGGACCTGTGTGGTTCCACCTGGTGACCCAGTGCATGGGAGCAGAGACAAAGTGCTTGGGACTTGGTGTGCCCACAGGCCTCTGATGAGAGGCAGTGAAAACAAGGCAGAGTAGTTGTTTTCAAACTTACCATGTGTAGGGTCTATCTCTCCCTTTGGGCAGTGATGTCTGGTTTGTTATGGGTCACCACTGAAATTGTCAATCCAGGAGCAAAGCTCAGCCACATGGGGTCTTAGGCAACAGCCACCTCTGACCCATGCAGGCCTGGTCTCCCCTTACCCATAGGGCAGCTTCAGCTTCAATGGAAGCAAGTTTGTTTTGCTTTCCTAGAGAAAGCAAGTAGAGATGTCTGATCTGCCTCCTCTGCCTGCTTTGTTTCTCCACATACTCTGTTGCTGCTGTCTTACTTATCTCCTTCCTGAGAAAGGCAGCCCCACTCTCTTGTTCTCTCCATGTAGGAATGCATTCAGCTTTCTGTAGTCATTTGCTTTTTAGAGGATCCTTTTCCCACCAATTTAACCAATTTCTTTCTGAACACAACATTTATATTTTGCTCTCAAACATGTCACAGCAATGAGTCAGCACTACAAATATGCACAGTGGGGGAAAGATGTATCTCCTCTTGCTTATTTGCAGGTGATGTTGAAGTATTTCATTCAGTGCCACCTAGTCGAGAAACGGTGGACAGCAAACAGTCTATTCACAGTCTTCATCCTTTCCCAGGAGATGTAACACTGCTGTAAAAGTTCCAAAAACTCTGTAGTACTTGTGTCTTGGCATCCTTCCTGCCCCTTGCACACTTTCCAGTTCCACTATTTCCTATCTGGGAAGGACAAGAACTGCACTGGTGTTCAATGAGCAAACCAAGCAAAAGGATCTTTGTCCCAGCCTCCTAAAGCAGCCTTCTGCGCGGGTTCAAGCTACAGACCTCCAGTGAGGCAGGAAGAGTAGAGCCTAAATTTTCCATCATCATGAAGCCAACCTGGTTTCTGCATTACCCAGTCACCAAGTTCCTTCAAGGCAGCTGAGCAGTGAAATGAGCATCAGACTTTCCCTGTGAATTTTCAAATCACACCAGTTTACAGAAGAATCATGCTTTAAGGACATACAGTTTATTTCTGTGAAGTTCAGGAAATAGACACATGCTTAATTGTAGCAAAGGCTATTTTCTTCATTTAACAACATCAAACTGATAAGCATGGTGGGTTCACTTCAAGACAGCCCTTTGCTGGGGCTCTGATGCACCAGTAGCTGAAAACCAGCCCCACACCTTTCCCAGTGAAAGCAATTCTTGTCTTTAAAGGTTCAAAACATGCTGTGATCCTCCTTTTGAGGGAAAGAAGTGAATTTAAGGACCATCAGATTTTCCTTTCAATAGCAACAGCAGCATGATACTGTCAAGTATGGACACTGTAGGGTTCCAAACAGCAGGAAATCTTATACATTGGCAGGTTATCTCATAACGCTCCCTCAGGTTTGTCTCAAGCTTAGTAGGGTCATGGCTGAAGCATCCAGCCCTCATTACACCACACGTATCTCCTTCTCCTTATCAGAGCAATCCTATGGATGTGCTGAATTTTACAGTATTGTCTGGCCACAGCAAGCAGACAAACTGAACACAGCCCCTGTGGGTTCCCTCCCACTTTCGTATTTCCTTCAGGTCACTTAGTGGGAATTGTACATGTTTTACTGCTGGGATCATGTAAACAGTGTAACCTCCTGCAGGATACCATCAGGCTTTGCCTTCCTCTTTTTGTTTTATAGGATTAACACACTGATTTGAGCTTTGCCTGGCCTTTAATTTTTCAGCAATTTCTTTTACTGGTCTGTGCAGGGCCTGGAAGACCCTTACCTGAATCTGTCTCCGGGCAGCTAGAGGACTGTCATGGTTAGCAGAACCTGGAAGTGGAGAGTGGTGTGGGGGAAACACACTATGCACCTCCCAGGGCTACCTGGTCATTCTACCAGACATCTGCAAGTTTATGAAGTAGTAAAGGGCTTAACTATGAGAGTTAGAGTGGTACAGATGTTACAGTCAAAAAAGGAGGAGGGAAAAATGTTCCCACTCCCAAACAATTTCTCCTTTTTTTTTTTTTAATTTATTTTGTAAGGAGGCTTTTCCTGTTTGAAATTTAGTTGGGGAAAATTCAAATGCATCAGGATCATGCACAGTAAAAAACACAAAATCTACCAGATCATCAGGTAGGACAGTGCAAGGTGCTTAAAAGGCACCAGTAAAAGCCAGGTAGCTGGCTGGTATGTGATGAATTCATGAAAGAAGCCAGGAAGGAAATCAATCTTTTGATTCCAAAGAATATATGACACATCCAAGGGGAGGGACGGTTTGCTGCTTCAACCATCTACTGCAACTGTAATCAGTATTTCCTGGCCATAGCAACTACAGGCTTATGAAGGAGTCACTGTGCCTCAAAGAGATTATTGACAAAGATAACATCTGAAAATAACATGCTTTCCTTTGACTTTCATCCAGCTCAAATATTTGCTGCCAAGTCAGCTGAAGGAAAGAGCAGTTGTGCGGTTGCTCTGATTTCCCTCTAGCACCTCTGTATCCTCAGCTGGGTGCTTGCTTCAGTGTTACTGCAAGAAGAAACCCAGATGACAGCAAGGTCGCCCAGCCCAAGGGGTGCCACTCAGCAGTGAAAGACTGGAGATAACAATACTTGTCTGGGGTAGTTACTTACCTTTCCTTAAGTTACTGGCCCAAAACCTGACTACTGATGATACTGCCCAGGGTTTCGTAGCCCCTGTCACTTGGCCTGGTTGCAGCAGATACTCAAAGCAACCTAAACACCTAGCAGTAACCTCCCTCTCTCCCAGCCTGATCTGTTACCTGAAGAGGGGTAGCTCTGCCGATTCAGAGAGTCCAGGCTATACATCCCTTATTTTGGCACTGGCTAACTCAGCTGTTGCCTGGCCATCACAAATGGAAATCTAAGTGCAGCCTAGCTTCATCCATGTGGATGCTACCTTATGCTACCTGTAGAATTCCTCAGCCTAGCTTTGCCTAGCCAGAAGCCTCCCACACCTTCACCGGAGGCCAGGCTAAGCCTGTGCACCATCCCCTCTAGGCTAGCCTTGTTGCTCCCTACACTTGCACCACCTGAGCCCTAGTCATACACCCAGCTAGCCAAACCCATGCCCTGAATGTTCTGTTTCCTGTCTTATCCCTACTGCAGCAAGGCCTAGCTACAAGGATACCATTAATTCAGCTGCAGTCTGTCCTGCGTTTTTCAAGCAACAGTACCTCAGAGCTCTTCTCCCATTTCTGTGCAGCACAGCCAAGCTCACCCATGTCTTTCTGTCAACAGGTTTGTCTAATACCTCAAGGCATTTATGGGTTAGCAGACCACGCTGTGAAACAGTTAAGTCCTTGTTTTATTCCCAGTGAAAGCAACATGCCCAAATGCATCTCTCCAAAACTGGAGGAAAGAACAAATACCTATTGGTATACACCAAAATTACAGACAAGAACACATAACACAGACTACCAGAGAAAACAGACATACAAATGAGACCGGCTGACTTGAACCCAACATGAGACTTGAAGGGCAGCATGACCTAAGAAATCAGATCTGAGGGAGTCCTTACACCCGAGACGACAACTCAAGTCTGCACGTCCAGTGCTCCAGACTGGACTGTAAACACTCCATGGGCTAAGACATTAGAATGGCCTAAAAAACCCCAAACAAACCCAAACCCAAATCAAAACAATCAACCAACCAAAGAAAACCCTAACCCCAAAAGCAGAACAATTTTATGCCTCTCAACTTTCCTGATGGTAGGTCTGAAATACAGCATCAGGGAATTCACCAGTGATTCTTCATAGGGATAAGAAAACACCAAGACTTCTCAGACCTGCAGCTCTGGGTGTTGCAACCTGGTATTTTTATGCAGTCTTCTGTTATTCAGACTGAGAACAGCCCTTTAAACATTGCTTAGAGAGCTACGCTGCATCCAAATCTACCTTGAAAGAGCTGAGGTTACTTAGATTACAGTAGTCTTTCAAAAAGCTTGCATGACATTTCCCATTAGTCATTAGTTGAGGTTCATTACGATATGGGAAACAGGAACAGACAGGCATGTTAGTAGTCAATGACTGAGCAGTTAAAAAGCAATAAATACTTCCAGCCTCATACAGATTGTTCAGACTGCAGAACTGCGAGATTAGCTCCGCACTGTTAAAGCCAACCCAACAACAGTGCCTATTCCCAGCTGGCCAGTTTATGAAATGCAAACTTAAGTCATGCTTTCCACCAATCTTCACTACTACACCGGCGTAGTTCACTGGGAGGATGTGAGGAATATCCCTTTGAAGCTGCAAGAGAAATTTTTCTTTCACCTTAATTAGAGTCTGTCTCAGAACAGCAGAGTGATGGATTTTTACTTATTTGTAGAATAAAACTGGAACTCTCTCACAGACCAGCAGCATGTAGGTCTCATCTAAAAAGCCTGGCAGGTGCAGCAACCTAGAGACATTGAGAAGTTTTATTTGTTCCAAAATATCTTTTGGAAAAAGAGAAAAAAAACAAAAGCGATTCTGCTAGAAATTTGTTTCTTCTCTTTTCCCCACTAATACTTTGGGCTTGGTTGAGGATTGAGGGAACTGGAAGAGATTTGGCAGAAAACAGAAAACGGGTTCATGATGAATACAGTTCATTTTCATGTGAGCAAAACATATCATTAACAGAAATAGATGAACAGTCTCCACTGCACCACAACCTACATCAGGACTGCACCTCCAGTTTCCCACAAAGTACTGGTGCACAAACAGACCCCAATGCTCCCATGCAGTGTTTCTGGCAGAACGGAGTTTCAGGAATAAGTTACACATAGATATATATAACATGAGTATTAATTCATTAATGGCTACTTCAGCCACTACTCAGCTGACAGACACTTCAGTCTCTGAATTTCTCCATGTTTCTGAGATCTAAAACTCGGTGTCAAGAAATGGAATTGAAGTCTCATAAATGCCCTGTAAACTGCCTGGGACTGGCCAAAGTGGCATGTGAGTATAGACTCAAGAAAGCTCAGTAGTCTGTTCACAAGTAAATCCATGTCCAGCTCCCCAGGAAGACGCTGACCCTTGAGGTGGAAAGAGCCTCAAGACATTGTCTCTTCAGCTACACAGAGGGATATACGACACCCAGTTCCTTGTGCTTGGTGCTACACCATAGCTATTGCAGAGTCCTCAGTGCTGCTGTCCTGCTCCAAGCCCACCCTGCGGATGGACTCCCTGTATTTCTGACGGCCCAGCTCAATGATGGTTTCAACCTCATCGGCAATGTCCTGGCGGCCACTCTCTTTTATGGCTGTAATCAGCTTGCTCACACAGTCAGGATCCTCTGAGTTTTGCTGAGCCCAAGAGAAAAGCATGTCCAGGATCTGCTTGTCAAGGTCCTCTCTGAAGAAATGGAGAAACACAGAAGTAACCAACACACTCTCCTGACTAGCAACCCAAAGAGGCCTTACTTAAGTCCTAACCCATGACTGAAGGCCCAAAGAAGCCATCCAAGCCATCCAGACATACAAAACACTCAGTGGGCCTCCTTTTCCCCCACCTATACAGGAGCTGCAGTTCCTGCACTAAAATCTCTCTATAAAATGTTTTCCTAATGGAAATACCAAATTAAAGCATTCTGCTTTTGAACGTAAATTCCCCACAGGAACAGTACTTTGGTCATAAGTCTAATACTCTCCTACTGCTCTGGCTTTTTGGTCAGACTGCATGTCCCATGACGTACTGCAAGCTCTTTTTGAATAAAGACGATATTCACAATTAATGCCATAGACTGCTGCTCATTGTCAGAGATGGAGTCTGGCCAGGAATCCAGATCACAGAACAAAACAGGAATGTGATTCATCTGAACTACAAAACTCATCAGGTTTGTTATTTCCCAATTTTGTTTTTCAAACATGCAGCTTTGTTTTATAATGGCAAGATAATCAGTTTTCCATTTAAAAAAAAATAAAAGGTAATGTTTTGAGAAGAACCATTAGTCAACCCATCTTTTATCCAGTGAAACAATTCCAGTGGAAAAACTTTGAACCAACCAAGCACTAATTTATACTGATAGATAGATAGATAGATAGATAGATAGATAGATAGATAGATAGATAGATAGATAGATAGAATGGATCACTGTTTGTCTCTGTGTCCTATCTTACCTGTGATTGTATCTTATGCGCTCAATCTGCTGATAGGTCAAGCCCAGGTTCAGGCCGATGGTCTGCCAGTCAGCTCCCACGCGCCTGGCAATGCTCAGCAGGTTGGCTTGTGTCAGGTAGCCAGTCTCAGCATTGCCCAGGTTCAAGGGAGGGAAGGAGAACCCATTCAGGGCACCAGGGTTCTCACCCCAGCGGGGCTTCAATCGCTGTGTCATGGAGAAGAGGGAGAGAGAATATGCTTAAGCAAATTGTTTCTGTAGAGGACAGTGTCTGGCCATTCAGTCTCCTACTAGGGAGGAAGGAAGATTTGGGGCTGAAGAGTCAGGCAGTTAAGAAGCAAGGAGCACTCACACTGGCAATGACCAGCAATGCTTACTGCCTCTGAAAAACATGAGATCATAGTGTTCATGGTCATAGCTTACACTGGAAATTTCCTTTCTTGTCTTGGCAGAGCATTTTTCAATGAACCATCTCCCCAGAGCATATTTGTCTAAGTGGTAAGAAACAGTCTAGATTTGTAGCTGAGGTTGCATGTGTCAGATGTGAGATCATGGCACATGATATGAAGGGAAGCATTCAGCCTACAAAGGTACTTAGTGTTTAAAGCTTCTCAAAAATCAATTAAATTCCATAAGCAAAAGTTGTATTTCTCACTGTAACATACAGCCTAGCCTTTAAAGCCGGATGGCTCACAACAGAATACTTACACTCAACACCTATATTCAAATCCAGCCTACCTACCTCACTCTAGACCTTTCTTTTTCTCCTGTTGCATGAGCTGTGTGACTAAGAAGTTTAGAAACAAAATAGACACTTCCCTTAATTACAGCGAGCTTCCTCCTGTTGTACATCCCTCATTCATTCAAAGGATCCACCCTCTCTGACAACCTACCCAACAAGCCTGTGGCTGACAGGCAAGATGAGCAGGACAGGTGGAGACCACTCCCAACTACTCATGTTTCTCTTTTCAGAAGAGCTCATGGAGACTGGGAAATCACCATGACATGGCTGGGCAGCCATTTCTCACAGTCATTCATTGCATCTCTTCTCATGGTAGAAGACAAAATTAGCTGAGCAGAAAGGCCATGCTCTTACCCCATCTAGATTATTGTTTCTGTAGGAGACAAAACAACTCACAGGCAGTTTGATGGGCAAAGTAACGAGCCAGAGGGAGTCTGGTCCTCTCCTCCTCCTGCTGGCCTCTTCAGGGATGTTCTCAGGAACTGCCCCTCGGTAGAAAGAGACCTTCGCAAAGAGAAAGCATGCAGTTAGGCTCAGATTCAAGCACAGTGGCCAAGCCTGTTTGCACCATGTCTTTTCTGTCTGGGAAAGAATGAATTCAGCATTTCTCACCTATCCTCAGTCCACAGATATGGCCTCCCAATTAAGTACAACTGGGAGGAGCACTGGGGTTCTGCCATAAAGGCTGGATTTACTGCCAACACCCCAAAAGTTAATGGCAGGAATGTAACTCAGAGTTAAGTGATGAGTTCAAGACTACTATTCTTGCTTATTCAGGGTTTAGTTGGTGATACACAAAGCCAAGGGAAAGAGGAGAGGAAAAGAGTAATTCCTGGCACTCAGAGATTGTTATGAGGAGCATTGTAAAAGCAATGATGATGATGATGATGATGATGAAGGAGGAAACAAAGAGTCAATGTAACTGCTCACCTGTCCTTTTACAGCTTGGTCCTTCCTGTCCACAGGGGAAGTCACATAGATTTCCTTCATGTTCTTTAAGTGGGAGTAAAAAGTAAACGAGAGACGTCCATCCACGCAGTCAGGGCGATCTGTGCAGAGGAGCAGCAAACGCTCAAGTTATGCAGAAAAATATGCAGCTTTTCAAGCCTGACCAACGCCCATCATCCACTAACAGCCTCCATACTACTATCTACTGCTTCTACTCATCCCTGAACGAATTGTAAACGCCGACCCCCTTCCTCGCTGGGTAACACCAGAAAGCAGAAAACACGCTGCGGAAAAAGCATGTCCTACAGGTGAAAAAGGAGAATGGCCACAAGGTGGAGATCGAGTTCAGGAATGGAAAGCAAGGCCAAGCAAAACATTCAGATGGGAGTCAAGTCCATCCAACTTCCCTCCCATCCTTGGTCCATTCTGTCCTTTGGAGGGTAGAATCAGCAGCAATAGCATCCTGTAATGCATAGAAATAGGTGGGTGCAGAAATAAGAATAGAGGTAAAGGGAAAAAATATAATCAGGTACAACATTCATGTATGCAATAGAAATAACTTAAGAGTCCAGCCTAAATCAGGGCAGATGGACAGACTCTGGCCTCATGGCCTCATGAACTGAAAGACCAGTGCATTTTATTATTCTTTAAAGAGTTGTGCTTAGTTTACTGCAGTGAAACTTAGCTATACGTTCAGGTTTTGCAGAGAAGGCCACATAGGAAAAGGCGGTCGACTTTGCACCTCAAGACTGCCTCTGATAAGAAAGATAGAAGGGTCACTGTAGTAGGGGATTCCCTTCTGAGAGGAACAGAGGGCCCGATACGCAGAGTTGACCCTCATCATAGGGAAGTATGTAGTCTGCCTGGAGCCCGGATCAGGGATATCACTAGGGCACTCCCCAACCTGGTGCACCCAACAGACTGCTACCCGCTGCTGATCAGACAGGTGAGGGGGAAGCTGCTTCCCGCAGTCTGAGGGGGATGAAGAAAGACTACAGGGCCTTAGGGCGGATGGTGAAAGAGTCTGGGGCTCAAGTGATCTTCTCCTCACTCCTTCCATCTTCCACTGATGATGTGGGAAGGAATGGGAAGATTCAGTCCATAAACGATTGGCTTCGAGACTGGTGCTGCAGGCAGGGCTTTGGATTCTTTGATAACAGCTGGTTTTATAGGGCACCAGTCTGGACAATGACAAGTGGGAAAGGTTTATCTCACAGAGGCAAAAGGATGCTGGGGCACGAATTAGCGGGGCTCATTTGGAGAGCTTTAAACTAGATTCTAAGGGGGATGGGGTTGTAGCTGGGCTTGCCCCAGTGGGGCAGCACTCCAGAATTGATGAAGACTGGGAGGCCTCCTATAATCCTAGGGTGAAATCGGTGTGCTCAGCTCGCTCCCTGGAATGTCTGTTCACCAATGCGCGCAGCATGGGAAATAAACAGGAGTTGGAAACCTATGTTAGGTCAGGAGACTATGATCTGGTGGCAATTACAGAGACGTGGTGGGACAGCTCACATGACTGGAATATAGTCATGGAGGACTATGTCCTTTTCAGGAAAGACAGGCCAGCCAGAAAGGGTGGTGGGGTTGCTCTTTATGTGCGGGAGCAACTACAGTGCACCGAGTTCTGTCCAGGGACAGATGACGAGCGAGTTGAGAGTCTGTGGGTGAGAATTAAGGGGCAGGCTGGCAGGGGGGATACTGTTGTGGGTGTCTGTTACAGACCCCCAGATCAGGGTGAGGAAGTTGACGAGGCCTTCTACAGGCAGCTGAGAGCGGCCTCACAGTCACAGGCTGTGGTCGTCGTGGGGGATTTTAACTTCCCTGATGTTTGCTGGAAGGACCACTCAGCAACCCAGCCACAGTCCAGGAGGTTCCTCCAGTGTATGGATAAGAGGTTCCTCCAGTGTATGGATGATAACTTCCTCCTGCAAATGGTGGATGAGCCAACCAGGAGAGGAGCGCTGCTGGATCTCATCCTCACTAACAAGGAGGGTCTGGTTGAAGCAGTAAGGGTTGAGGGCTGCCTTGGTTGCAGTGACCACGAGATGGTGGAATTCAGGATCTTGTGTGGTAGGACTAGTAGAATAGCAAGTAGAATTGCAACCCTGGACTTTAGCAGGGCAAACTTTGGCCTTTTCAAGCAATTGCTAGGGCAAATCCCATGGGCAAGGCTGTTTGAAGGTAAAGGGGCCCAAGATAGTTGGTTGGCATTCAAGGATTGCTTTTTCTGAGCTCAAGATCGGAGCATCCCGACATGTAGGAAGTCAAGGAAGAGGGCCAGGAGACCTGCGTGGCTAAATAGGGAATTGCTGGGTATGCTCAAGTGGAAGAGGAGAGTTTACAGGTCATGGAAGGAGGGGCTGGCCACTTGGGAGGAATATAAGGCTGCTGCTAGAGGATGTAGGAAGGCAGCTAGGAAGACTAAGGCATCCTTAGAATTAAACCTGGCAAGAAGGGTCAAGGACAGCAAAAAGAGCTTTTTCAAATACATGGCAGACAAAACTAACACCAGAGGCAATGTAGGCCCACTGATGAACGGGATGGGTGCCCTGGTGACAGAAGATACAGAGATGGCAGAGTTACTGAATGCCTTCTTTGTCTCTGTCTACTCTGCTGCAGGCAGTCCTGAAGAGCCCTGTACCCCTGAGACCTTAGATGAAGTCAGGTCGATGGAGCGGTTTGCCTTAGTCGATGAGGAATGGGTTAGAGACCAGTTGAGCAATCTGGACATCCATAAATCCATGGGTCCAGATGGGATGCACCCGCGGGTGCTGAGGGAACTGGTGGAAGTCATTGCTGGACCACTCTCCATCATCTTTACCAAGTCTTGGGAAACGGGAGAGGTGCCTGAGGACTGGAGGAAAGCAAATGTCACTCCAGTCTTCAAAAAGGGCAAGAAGGAGGACCTGGGTAACTATAGACCGGTCAGCCTCACCTCCATCCCTGGGAAAGTGATGGAACACCTTATCCTTGGTGCCATCTTAAGGCATATCAAGGATAAGAGGGTTATGAGGGGCAGTCAACATGGCTTCACCAAGGGGAAATCATGCTTGACCAATCTCTTAGCCTTTTATGAGGAAATAACACGGTGGATGGATGATGGCAGAGCGGTGGATGTGGTCTACCTTGATTTCAGCAAAGTATTTGACACAGTCTCCCACAGCATCCTCACGGCTAAATTGAGGAAGTGTGGTCTGGATGATCAGGTAGTGAGGTGGACTGTGAACTAGCTGAAGGAGAGAAGCCAGAGAGTTGTGGTCTATGGGGCTGAGTCTAGTTGGAGGCCTGTAACTAGTGGAGTGCCTCAAGGGTCAGTACTGGGACCAATATTATTTAATATATTCATCAATGATTTAGATGAGGGAATTGAGTGTACTATCAGCAAGTTTGCTGATGACACTAAGCTGGGAGGAGTGGCTGACATGGCAGAAGGCTGTGCTGCCATCCAGCGAGACCGGGACAGGCTGGAGAGTTGGGCAGGGAATAACTTGATGAAATATAACAAGGGAAAGTGTAGAGTCCTGCATCTGGGCAGGAACAACCCCAGGTTCCAGTATAGGTTGGGGAACGACCTGTTAGAGAGCAGTGTAGGGGAGAGGGACCTGGGGGTCCTAGTGGATGACAGGATGACCATGAGCCAACACTGTGCCCTTGTGGCCAAGAAGGCCAATGGCATCCTGGGGTGTATTAGAAGGGTGGTGGTTAGTAGGTCGAGAGAGGTCCTCCTTCCCCTCTACTCTGGCTTGGTGAGACCCCATCTGGAATATTGTGTCCAGTTCTGGGCCCCTCAGTTCAAGAAGGACAGGGACCTGCTGGAGAGAGTTCAGCGCAGGGCAACGAAGATGATTAAGGGAGTGGAGCATCTCCCTTATGAGGAAAGACTGAGGGAGCTGGGTCTCTATAGTTTGGAGAAGAGGAGACTGAGGGGTGACCTTATTAGTGTATATAAATATATAAAGGGGGAGTGTCACGAGGATGGAGCCAGGCTCTACTCAGTGGCAAACAATGATAGGACAAGGGGTAATGGGTGCAAACTGGAACACAAGAGGTTCCACTTAAACTTGAGAAGAAACTTCTTCTCAGTGAGGGTGACGGAACACTGGAACAGGCTGCCCAGGGAGGTTGTGGAGTCTCCTTCCCTGGAGACATTCAAAACCCGCCTGGACACATTCCTGTGTAACATTATCTAGGTGTTCCTGCTCCGGCAGGGGGACTGGACTAGATGATCTTTTGAGGTCCCTTCCAATCTCTAGCATACTGTGATACTGTGTGATACTGTGAAAATGGTTCAGTTTGCAGCTGTAACAGGTCTAGACACACTGGGGGCATAAAACACCACCTTGAGTTTTGGTCCTGCTCCATCTTCCCTTCTCTTCTAGTGCCTCCATTACAGTGAATTCTTTACTCTGGATTATTTCAGAAGTACCTTCTCAAAAAAAGATAAATCTTAAAGTGCTCTCTCAGAAATGGATGACATTTAATTGGATCACTATGTGCGTTCCATTGTGGTGTCTAAGATGCCAGGAAAAGGGCAAAGCTGGCTGCAGAAGTGGATCTGTCATAAAATAAACACACTTGGCTATTGCCCTCTGCAGGCTACAACATGAGAGGAAATGAAAGCCTGCAAATGGCACTTTCATAGAAAAAAGTAGACACAAAAGCTGGCTGACTAGAGAATATGACAAGTTCAGTGTTTATGGGCTGGCTGCTGTGAGCTGTGGGCAAGCTGGAGACAGAGAGGAATGCTATGGGAGAAAGGAGTACAGCCCCCAACAGAAGCACACACAAAAGGCAGGAGCGGAAAGAAGCCCACTAGTACCATACCCATATCAATGCTGATGCCTCCCTCAAAAGCTGCAAAAAACTGCTCTCCCTCAAACATCTCCACCATGTCGGATGGCTCAGGTCCTCGATAGCGATCCTGCAGCTTCTTCAGCACTGGGTCAACCTGACAAGGATGACAACACAGGACCCTGTGTATGATCTGAGGCATGTCTGTCCGCTGACCAATGTCTCTATGCCCATGATGTTCCCCTCACCTTCAGCAGGGGAGGTCCATTTTACATGGAAAGGATGTGAACAAATGAACAAACACCCACCCCCTCCTATCCCAGGTATATTCACTACACAGACAAGGAAGTGGTGCTCTGAGTTTTGTGGCTTCCATATTTCTCTTCTCAAGCAAAAAGCGGAAAAACTTAGGTGGACAAACAAAGTTAGGCCATACCAAAGCTGCCATTCAAAAAGCATTTTCAGCAATGTCTCTATCTTTTCAACAGGACAGTAACCTTCAAAGACAGGGAGGGATTTACTTGCTACCTTATCCCCCTCACAGTATGCCATTAAAGATATTTTCTCTGCAAAAAGGACCTGCTACAATAGCACAGAGCTGAGAAAACCAGAAAAATAATTTTGGCTTTGCAGCCTGTGATCACACTGGCAGACCTGGGGTCTCAGAGGCAGTGCAAGGGTCAGCCTATAGCCAAGGTGTCTTTTCTTCTTGCTATTTGTATCAATAAATCTTCTTTCTCACCCCATGACCATCCCTGGCAGGAATACAGACACCCCCAAACCCTGATCTCATTGTGAGTGCCATTGCTGCCTTCTCTGGAAACAAGTTTAGCCCAGAACACAACATAAAAAGAATCCTTACAGGTGTCTTTGCCCACAGGTAATTTCAATATAGGAGAACGAAAAAAGAAAGGAAGTAACCAGACCAGAGGATTATGCAGAGTCGGGTACACAGCCAAGTTCCAGCAGTCTGATAAAATAACCCTCATCTCCCTGAGCTGCACTGTTTGCCAAGTTCTACATGCACACATGAACACTTTGGTCAAAGAAGTTGCTAACAGTTGCTAACATCTGAAGCAACACCACTGAGGGCAGATACCGCTAGAGCAGAGGTGGCAAAAGAGAATGCATGAGCACTTCCCATTTCCTTCCCATCTTTCATACAAAATCAGCCAGATTAGCTCAAACTAGTAGCATTAAACTAACCTGGTGTCTCACTGAAGCAGATTAAGGAGGGGTCATATGTTCTGTTCCTCTGCTTGAACTGTAAACAGCAAGGAACGTTGGGAAGAGTACCATTTCTAACCACTCCAGCTGAAACCAAAGCAGTGCTGCTGCCCCCACTACTAGTCCATGACAGACAAGTGATACGTTAACTTTGATCTCTGGCTGAAGTTTAAGCCAACATGTTTTGCCTCATGTTCACTGGATGCTAACAGCACACACATGGCCATTTACTGTGGCTCAGCTGGTTTTAGCAGCCCAGTCCTCAGGGTTTGCATGGGAGGAAATCACTGTGTGCCACGCACAGCTAAGTAGAATGAACTTTCCTTCTTCTCCCAGATCCCAGTGACCCGGTATCGCGCTATCAACACATCGTGGTGACAGCATACCCCAGCCATGACCCTGGGGCAGTGAACAGGACCCACTGCTGCCCTTACATCCTACAAAGGGAGGCCCAAGAAGCTCAGAAGCAAGGCAATGCAACCTAGACCAGACCTTGTGTTTGGGGACACACTGTAGCAGGACTTGCTCGGGGTCCTTCTTCCTCTGCAGAGCAATGAAGTTAACCTGGTACATACGCAGACGCTCATAGACTTTCTTGGCAATGCCTCCAATGTAGGTCTTGGTGGTGTACCACAGCCAATACCTGGCAGAGAAGGAATTAAGAAAAAGGAGGGATCCTGCCTAGGAAGAGAATCCAGTGTCACACCTATGAGACTGTAAAGAATGACGGGCAGAGACAAAGAGCTAACCTAGGCCTGAATTGCAAAGGGAAAAGGGAACAGGTAGGGTAAATAGCATGAACTATGAATTAGAAGTCACGGTATGGAAAAAGCAAGACTGATGAAAATCCCATCTTTTCCTCGGGACTAGTCCTACACTTACCAGGAGAAGTGGGTGACTTCAAACACTGCATAAATATGGGTAAATTCCAGTACCATCTGACTGCTAATGTCATCCCAGGTTTGGCCCTCCAGGTCACCATGAAGAAGATGCAGCCTTGACTGATCCAAATTTATGCCTAAAGACAATGACAATCAAGAGACAGATGCAGCAGAAGCCTTTATTCATGGCTTTACAAACCCAGCCACACTTTTGGGTGACTCACTTTGTAAAAGCACCAAATTAAGGCTCATGGCCTTCTCTTCAGCCATTCAGGGCTGAACTTTGGTCAAAGAAGAGCAGCAATAAAAGGATAAGGTTACTCCAATGCTTCCAAGATATTCTGGCAGAATATGCAGACTTGAACTGACAGTGTGCTGATTTCCACCAACAGATTCATTAGATAATCCGTATCACCAATATCTAGGGCTATTAAGTTTTCTCTTTCTAAACACTCATTTGACAGACTTTTCAATGCTGATGCGCTTCAGGCATAAATACTAGGTAGTGTTACAATCAAGGCCAACCTGTACCCAGAAAAATTTTACATCTTCACAGGAGAGCCAGGAAAGGTCAAATAAAATAGGATTTAGGAGACACAGGGTATTCAGCATGCAAAGAGAGGAATCCCTGGGAAGGGAATGTGTCTGTTTGCTGTTTATAGCAGTATTCAGAGTGGGAAATACACTTCCAACAGCAGTGGCTTGGCAACTGATTCATGAGCAAGAAAGTAAGAGAGAAGGCAGACCCCTGAAGGCAACACCTTCATCACCTTCAAGCTATTCCCAACCATGAATCAAAGCCCTTTAACAAAGCATCTCCTCTGTTGGCAGGAATGCCTCTTCAATGTATCATATCAAACCCAGCAGTCTAAATACACTTGCAGTTCAGCAGAGCAATCCATATGCCAATCCATTCTCCCAGCCTGTGCTGGTGGTTTGTAAAGCCCAGTGCTGATCTTCTGGATCTGAACTACCTTCGGCTGCCACCACCCTGCACCACCACTCACTCAGCAGACACACCTTGCTGTTCTCACAGGAAAAGCGGCAAGCCTTATTATTGACAGGACAGGCAAACAAAATTCCCAGTTTGCCACTCACGGTTTTCCACATGCAGCACTTCTCTTTGCCAATTTTGGGAATAAACTGACCTGTGACCCCTGGTGGGAGGGGCAGCTGAATTCTTACTGGCCTGAGAAAGTCCACGAGGGAGTCCTGGGAGAGGCAGAGCAGGGGACTGGCTCTGCACCCTGCATCACCTGTGATTTCCTCTAGCTCTCCTGCAGACACTGGCAGCACCTGGATGTGGAAGACAGCACACTGAGCTGAGGAGACTGGCACCCAAATTTCCACATCACTTACCCAGGTCCCCATTACCCAGATTGCAAATGCTGCTCTTGGCTCAGGGTGCAGTGAAAAATGGAAACACAGTGAACTCTGGCTGAAGTCTGCTCTGGTGTCAACCAGGCAAGCTGGGACAGATCAAGGAACTACAGTAGCATTTAGCACTATCTAGCAACTCTACAGAAGTTCGCTTTAGTGGGGTAGCTTTAGAATTAGACCCACATGAATAACCCCCCACCCCAGTCTCATTCATTAAGCTGTTCTTCCACTCACAGTATGTTTTGCAAGAGAAGAATAGGCAATATATCCTTGTGTTTCCTTCACAGCAGCTACATGCTTATCTGCCAAAGATCCCTTTCCCACACAGGGCAGCTTGGAGCACAGCCCATTTTGCAGGCAAGGAAGCTAAAGCAGAAGGTGATCTGAGATGGGTCAGCCCATGTCAGACACAAACTACCCTAGGGCAGACATCTCACCTTCAGCCCTGCTACTTCGCATAGGATAACACCTGCACTACAGCTTACCAAAGTTTGTTTTTTAAAGTGTGCATACCTGCATCTTGACAGTGCGAGTTTGTTCAGTGACTCCAGGAGGAAAGGTCACTTTGATGTTTGGATCCACACTAGAAAAGAGCAGTGTCCCCTCTGTTGGCACTTTGCATTCATTTTGCACAAGTCGAGATATAACAAGGAACCAGGAGAAGTGAAGGACACTGCAGTGAGCCACATGCTTCTGTAACAGAAGACAGGGAAGAAAAGAAAACATATAGACATATGAAATAATACAATAAAGGTAAGAAAATAAGTACCAGTAGCAGCTGAGCAGATGAAAGCACTAGAACAGGGATGATGCATGGTGGAGTGCAAATCATCGTCTTCAGGAAACACACCTCCATGAGAGGAATCCTGGAGCTAAAATCCACATTTTATAGCAGTTGGTCAAAACACAGCTCATGAGATGTTTCAAATGGGCTCACTCATGGCTGGGAAAAACCAAAGAGGGGAACAGAAACATGTGTGTCACTGGTTGTTCCAAATTGCTTACCTTTGATTTTCTCTTCTGCTCCACTCTTGTTCTCAGATCACTCCAGCTCTGCCCACTGAAGGTCCGCACTACCACCTCGCGCTGGTGAAGGGTTTGAGGGGAAGCATATGGCATCGAGATCTGCACCTCCTGGCAAAAAAGCATTCCTGTGAGACACCAGGAGAAAAGGATAAAACCAAGCCCAGCTCTGCTGTGTGGCATCCTGTGCAGATGAAAAGGTGGAGGACAAAGCACGTCCTGTATGCAGGGAGTGAAGAAGGAGATAGGAACCTGCTCTGACCTGCAGCTGCCAGGGAGGTGACATGAGAGATCAGGCCCACTATGTAGTGTGATGGGAGGAAAAGTTCTGTAGCTTGTGGACAGTAAGGGCAAAGCAACTTTTGCAGTGAGTTGCTGTCAGCCATGATGGAGCTGGTGGTATAAGTGCTCACCAGCTTGAATGAAAACCACACAATCAGACTTTTAGAGAAGGATGTGAACTGTTCTCCTTGCAGGCTAAGATCAAATGCTGGAAAAGCACTTATCTTCTGGCACAGGAGGTGAGTGAGGAAGATTATAGCTCAGCTCAAGCAGGAACAGTGGGGAAGGCAAAGGAGTCAGACCAGCACAGTGCCAGAGAAGCTGGCTGTGTCATTTCTGAGTTTTTGCAGTGGGGCTTCTTTGAAAGGCAGTCCTGCAGCTACTTAAAAGCAGTAGTGATGGGAACAGTGCTCTCAAAAAGTCCCAAAACACTCTCTCAGAAGATTCTGCCAAGCTACTGCAGAGGCAAATTGATAAGGAGGAGGCCTGGATGCATCCTCACCTGCTGGAATTTGACCCCATGAGGCTGCAGCTCCAGGACTCTACTCAGCAGGACATCATGGTGTCGCAGCCTTACACACTGAGGGTCCGGTGAGAGAGTTCGGAAGTAGATCTGCAGAGGGTCAGAGGCAGCCCCCGGTGGAAAGTAGAAATGGATGCCACAGGCCAGGACCACTTTGCAGCCTTCAGGGGTGACAGTAAAGCTTCCAGAAAAAATGCATGAATGTATGCAATGACTTCAGCCCTCCAAAAATCAACACAAGAATCTCAAACCTTTTATTTGACTGGCCTACTGAGGCCATAAGCTACTACATGTACGTGCAATACCCACCATGCACCAATCATGTCTGGGCTGTTGTTACATGACTGTTATAAAAGTTCTTGGTAGCAGAGTCTTACCTGTCCTCTCCTGATGCAAGGAAGAGTCTTCGTAGTCTTCCAGCACTGGATTCATCTGCAGCAATAAGAAGGTTTGGGTAGAGGGAGGACACAGATGTTACTTAGATCAGGGTAGACAAGAAAGGTTTAACTTGTATTTCAGCTTTGGCTTAACTCTAACCTGACAGAAGTAATTAAAGGAACCTTGTTCACACTGCAGTGGGCTTCAGATCAAGCAGCAGGATATGAACAGGCCTAAGGGTTCCAAGACACACTGGAAATGCTGACTCTCCCCCAGGAAAACTCAGAACCCAGAAGCTGGGGGAATTAGAAAATATTTCAATCCACCACCCCTGCAGCTCTCAGGGCAATGTTTGACTGCCTGGCGCCACCCCTGGGAATCTGTGCTTGCTCTTGTGAATATGAGCACCGTTAGGAAACCCTGCCCAGATTCCTGCTCATTCATTACCTGCATCTTGGACAAGGAGCTGCTCCTCTGCAGCCTTGGAAAGCAGGAGGTAACTACACAGCAGGATGACCTCTTATTGCTCTCTGTGCTTCTAGCATGAGCCACCACCTTAGGGCCATGCAGCAAGTCCAAGAACTGGTGCTTGCCTTCTCTAAAAGGGCTGGACACCTTTAAGGGCCTCCCCTGATCCACCTCCTGTGAATCCCATTTTCACTTCCACTGTAAAAACATTCCGAGCAAGACTAATTCCAGGGACCACTGAGCCCTTCTGGCTAGGCTTGGGCTAGTAAAAAGAGAACTAGTATCGTCTGTATCCTTACAACCTAATTATTATTCCAGACAAATAAATACTGATCTGATTCCCCCCTGCTTGTGTTCTCTAATCCAAACCCATCTACACCATGCTGGGCTGACTGAGGGAACAGCTGGTCAGAACCCAGAGCAACAGAAGGCTTGCAATTACCAGCCTGTGGGGATGGCTCAGTTTCTCCTAAGGGATTGCCACGGAGGTGCACGAATGGCAAGGTCTGGATCTCAGGGGGGACAGCACTGAGGCAATTATTCTGCAGATCAAGTCTGGACAAGTTGGGCAGGCTGGCAAGCGAGGCAGGGACAGTCACCAGGAGATTGCTGTGGAGGTGCAGCCGCCGCAGACACTTCAAATTGGCTGCAGGTTAGAACAAGAAGTGACCCCCCATCCATGCTGCTAATTGCATTGCACATAAGTTCTAACACCCTCCACCCCTATTCTCCTCATGACATGTACACAGACACACAATAAAAACCAAGCACACGAGCCCAAACATCTCTTTAGCTCACAAAATAAAGGGGTGCAGGGAATTAGCTAAGAGGCAAGGCAGCCTCCTCCATCCTCTGCTTTTCAAGTATTGATGTGAGATGCTTCTGTAACAGCACTAATGACAACCCCAGGCACTGAGTAATACAGGACCCAAGAGCCATGAAGCTGGGCAGCAGAAACCAGAGCCCGGTTCTGTGGACTGGTCCACACTAGACAGCATGATTTCAAGCCCAAATTTGCACCCCATGAAACTCCAACTCTTCTGTTTCCAGACTTGTGTGCTACCCAAAACCAGCCTGGCCAGATCCTCAGTTACTGTAAATTGTATTGAAATCTTACCAGTCTTGCTGATGCATAGAAGCAGAAAGCATGGTCCAGAGGGATTTAATGCTCAAAGGGACTGACTGAACCAAGCATGCTTCTTCTGGATATCCTTCCCATTTGGCTCTAACATAACAGATGTTTTGTGCTAATAACTCTGGGGACAGAGACCAAGGGCCTCAGGGGTCCCAGACTGTATCAAAAGCTAGGCAAGCCCATGTCCTTCTTTTCACCTAGAAAATACATACCTAAGGAGTCTGGGATGCTTGATAAGCAATTCCCAGAAAGATCTAGCTCTGTGCAGTTATGCAGATTCCCCACTTCTTCAGGGATGAATTCCAAAGCATTTTCAGAGAGATCCAGGTCCTGCAGCACTGCTAGGTCCCCAATGCTCCGAGGTAAGTCCTTCAGCTGATTTTTCATAGCAGAGAAGAAAGTCAGCTTGCTCAGAGAGCCAAAGTCCTCAGGGAGTTCCACAAGTCTGTTGTGGCTCACCAGGAGCACACGAAGGCTGGAGAGATGAAGGATGCAGCTGGGCAAGGTGGACAGGCTGTTGAAAGTGAGATCCAGGTGGGTGAGACACCTCAGGTTCCCCATGTCTGCTGGTAAGCTTGTCAGAGAGCCATGCTGACATGAACCAAACTCATCCCTGGCATGGCCACCTGGGTGTGGAGGGAAGTGGAGGAAGAGGTCAATATGCTACAGGGATACCTCAACAGCCTCACGTGAGACTCCTTAGCACACAGACATAGAAGATGCGGAGCTACTGATCCCAGTGAGCAGCACTGATTACAAAGTACTCATACAGAAATCGGGTTTCTGCCCCTTGCCTCTGTTTCCTGATCAGTGAAAGGGGTATAATGGTGAAGACCTGTTATGAAATCAAGAGACGCCACAGTCAACAAGTAGAGCTCTGCTAAACACATCTGGAGCCGAAGCTCAGAAAGAGCAAGGCCACTCCACACATCTACCACCCCTCAGCAGGGCGACTCATTCCTCCAAGCCTCCTACTCACCTTCCCCACCTGCATCAGTGCCCTCCATCCCTCACCAATACTGTTGAGCGACAAACAGCCCTGAGGACTGAGAGCTGCCCTTGCAAGACTGGAGACACGAGGAAAGCAGTGAAAATGTGGGGGAAAAAAACAGGTAATTCAGTATTGCATAGGCCAGACAGGGCCGAGAGGAAAGGACATAAGTTCCCACCCCAGCCTGTGACACTCAGGCTGGAGAAGGGCTGCAGCCATGGAAAATAAGTCAAGTGAACAAAAGGAAAATTTCCAAAACATTCCACTTCATCATACCCCCTCCATTGCTGTCTATCTGTATACACATACAGCAGAGGGCACCAAACATTTTTTATGCTGCATCACGGTAAAAATTGAGAACAATATCAAGCTAACGGGCACATTGCACTTTGTACATAAGGAAATCTTAGCAAACTATTTTATTGCCCTTCAGGATGCTCAGGGTGTGTGTACATGTCACAAAACAAGCCTGATAAAAGGTACTGCTGTTACCCTCACCTTACTAAAAGGGGAAAGACAAATGAAATCATTAACATGAAAAATCTGTGACAGATACAGAAACAAACCTCAATCTTTTCAGTTTTCACATAAAACCCTAAAATCTGGCCACAAATTCCCTGCTTTTCTCTCATTTTTATTTTTTTCTTTTTAAAATTCCACCTCCCAAAGAGCAAATGATTCAGTCTGGTACAGAAATTATACCACTTGTATTGACATCCTTCTATAATAAAGAGATGAGAAAGTCAAAGAATGATCTAATATTTATAGTTATTACACCTCGCCAAATTATGTGCACACCCTGAGTCATACTTTTGATAAAATGTTGAGCAGCCTTTTTTGGTCTGTCTTGAACTCTGTTAAACCTACATCCACTGAGACTAAGCAACGATTAAGCTAGGATTGATTCAGATGGAAATGCAGCAAAGACAGCTCGTTATACTCCCAAAATTAAAGAGAGGCTGAACATTTACCAAAATATCCAACACCTTTCAATGCCCCTCTCCTTGCATAACTGTGCAAAAAATGCTCTTCTTCTAGAGGATGACTTAAGAAAATGTTGCAGCATCAACCCAACCAGACTCCAAAACCAGCTTCTCAGGCAGCTGTAGAAACAAAGGAAGGAAATAAGAGTCTAGAAGCTGTACCTTATTGAAATCTGCACACAAATCTGGGCAAGGGTAAGAGCCAAAGCTGTAGTAAGGGGCACTAGAACAAAACAATTCCAAGGGCAGTTTGTCCTGTAGATGTGCAGAGGAGGTTTAAAATAAGAAAAAGCTGAGCCTAGAAAAGTTGGATGGAATTTACCTTTGATCACCAGGGATTTCAGGTGCTTCAGATGAGGGAGGATGTCTAGTGTGGTGCCAAGGAGACGATCATTGCTGCTGAGTCGGAGGAACTCCACCTGGAGCACCTCTCCCTGTCGCCCCTCAAACAGCTGGAGGAACCTGCTGCAGCCGTCAAGATATACATCCAGGTTCAGCTTGTTGTCTGCAAGGCAGGAGGCAGCAAGTGCAGGAGCTCCCAAAGCCCCCTCCCTGCACTCGTCTCTGAGCCCCAGCAGCTCTGCCATCTTCTGCAGCTGGTTCACAGGGTCCGGACATGCTCTGACTTGCCAGGCAGGCAGGCACCAGCGGCACCACAATGCAGCTGGGACAAGGAGGAGGAGGAAAGATGGTTCTGAAAGGAACGTAAGTGCACAATGAAGGCCTCCTGCCCCAATCCAGGGCATCTGAAAACAGCTGATAATTACAGCAAGAGGAGAGGAAGGATTATTGAAAGCTTTGTGGGCACAGAAATGCAGGGTGACAGATGCCACAGAGGTTTCTCCTCCAAGGAGAAACTCTATGAGCTCTCCCACCCAGTATCTCAGCAGGGAATGGAGCAATTACCCACCATCAAAATAAATAGCAATATTAACCTTAAAAGATATAAATGTAAATGCCTATGCCTTATGCAGATTTCAAAGTGCATCAGTGGGAATCTTTATAAGTGTAGGGGGGAAATAGGGACAGGGAGAGCTGAGCCAAGAGGAGAGCCCAGAGGCTGCTCGCAGGCTGTGATGGGTCCTCATTGAACCCGGTTGTGAAACTGGATGTCAATGGGATAAAAGTGAGCATAGATGAAAACGGGCAAAGGGCAGCAGAGCAAATATGGCAGGGCCAAGGAGGGGGTTAGATAAGGCATATCAGTGGCACAGGAGCACTGGACTGTCAGTGGGACTGGGGCTCTTGCAGATTTGCCTCCGCAGGGATACTCTAATGCAGCAAACGGGGCACAACACCATGGCAGGCTAGTTACCAGCTAGTCTTTGTTTCCTCTTCTCACAGCACCCTCCAGGTATAAAGAGAAAGGGGAAAAATAGATAACACATAGTGCATGCTAAGAAGGTTTTGAACCTTAAGGAGCAGAAGTATGGAATTTGAATAAATTAATTATTCCTCTGCCTTCTTAGTGTAAAGAAGCTTTCATCCACCTTGGACTTTCAAAATCAGCCACTACCATCACAGTACACTGTAATGCAAAGATAAGCAGAGGCACCACACTTGTTTTTATACCAGTACTCACAAACTTCCAAGTCCACTGATCTTCACACCTCCTTCATCTTTTGCAGCTCCTCCTGAGCTTGGCAATTAAACTAGCTAATGGTGTGAATATCAGGAGGTCTTGTTAAAGAACTTTGGATCAAATATGCAAATAGCTGTTTCTTTTGAGTGAGTGATTCAGAACTACAAAAACTTCTAATGGCTTTACCATCCAAGGCCAGCAGAAGCAAGCTAATGTCCCTGCAAAACCCTGAGGAGCAGGGCTTTCTACTGGGAACCTGTGGGACATGGCTGCACTGATGCTCCCAGGGCACTTGCCTGGGGGGAGGCATTTCACCTGATTCCCTGAAAGAGCAGAAACCTTATGGACACATAAGGACAGGAAGCACAGCTAAATGGAAACTACTGCTTTAGTAAAAAGCTAAGTATTTCTTACAAAAAGGCTGTACACAACACATACACAGTGCTCCTACAGATATGGGTAAGCAAACAGACCATCTGCTATAGCTTTGTAAAGCCATTGATGGTGAAGGAACCAGACAGCTCTGGTCTGCTCAACTGGCCAGGCTGGAGAGGCCCAGAGTCCACCAATGCAGCCTTAGGCATGCGGACGGGACACGGGCAGTCACCCTTGTGCACACACACACACACACACACACACACGTGCACACGCTCCAACACGCACTCACCCCGACTGTCCTCACCTGCCCCCGTTACCCCGCACCCCGCCGGGCCCCTGAGCCGAGGCTCAGCCCCGGGGACCCCCAGCAGGAGCTACAGCAGAGCCGCCAGGCACACGCCCTGTGCCCCGCGGAGCATGGCCACGCTTGTCTCACCCCTCCGCACCCGGTCCCTGGCACACAAACCCTGAGTCCCGGCAGCCCGGCCGTGCTCGGTTTGGCTCGGCCCGGCTCAGCCCGGGCACTTCCTGCAAAGTTTGCCGTTGATCCGCGCTGCCGGGGCGGGACGAGCCGGAGGAGGTGCCGGATGCAGCGGGACAAGGGGCAGGCGGGTCTGGGCAGCCAGGCACTGGCGTCCCGCTGTCACAGAATGTCACAAAATGAGATGTCTCCAACCCGCCATGGCCTTGGTACCGCGGCTGGTCCCGGTGCAGTCCCCCCGGGCTCAGGCATGAGTTCAGCCTGCAGGAACGGGGGCCACGGGCAGCTCGTGGTGGTGTGCTCCAATTTTCCTGCGCTTGAACAACGATGTTTCCGATAAGCCAGTGTCTGCCAAAGGCAATACGTTGTGCAGGTCACATCTGGCATCTCTTCCTATAGACTGCTGTCATTGTCCTTGGAAGTCCTGAGCTTTTTGCTTCACAAGTTCTCCTTTCGAACAGAGCATTATTTGTTGCCAGCTATGATTAGAGGTGTCTGTTCTACTTGTGTTTCTCTTAACTGTGTTGTATTTATCTTATCAAACGTTTCCTTCTTGTAAGGAAGAAACAACCCAAGTTCTTCCTGAGTTGCATCCATGACTGTCTGTGATTATTTCCCAATTTTTTTTTCTTGCTTTATGTTCACTTCCCACTTTTATTTGTTACCACCTTGGATAAGAGGCAGGATAGCAGGAGCAGGGGCTGTGAGATGCACACCACTGTGTGCTCTTGGCCTGCCCAGAGCCACGAGGCTCTGCCACTGCTAATCTGCTGCCCTGTGCACTCCGATGGGTGTCTGACTCCAGCCTTGGAGTGAGGGACAGCGTTTGGTCTAACACTGCATCCTGGTGAGGCCCTGCAGCATTTGCGCTGCTCTCCATTTCACTGAGAGGGGCAAAGCCCCTTTTCCATAGCAGCGAGTTTCCAGCTGGTGCCTCAGTGCTATGGCACAGTGATCCCCTGGGAAAAGCGCCTCTTGCTCAAAGCTGAACACAAGCTGCAGTGCCCTGAGGGAAATTGCTCTTCCCATGGGGAGAAGACAGTAACTGCTGAAAACTGTTTCTCTGAAGCACCTACTTTTATAACTCTGAAGTATAGAACTGGGAGCATGCTTGTCTTCTAGAGGCACTAGAGAGCACTCTCACCCACACCTGAGCTTTTTGTGCAGCCTACAGGGCCGCAAGGCAGGGGCAGCCAAAGCCTCCTCAGAGCCCTATTGCTGCAGCACTTCTGGTTTATTTGGGTCCAGTGGATTTTGGCACTCACTAACTTTACACTTTCATTCCTTTCCCTAATCCAGAAAGAAATAACTCTTGTCATTGCCCCTCTATCCTGCTCTGGTGAGACCCCCCATGGAGTACTGCATCCTCAGTACATTGAAGAGCAAGCTGCACTAGACGACCTCTGGAGGTCCCTTCCAACCCAAACTGTTCTACGATTAGCTATGACGGCACACAGACACTACTACTGAAGGGATGTGCTTTACACAGTGAAGTCTGTTTGGTCCTCGGCTCTATGGCAGACCTTTGACAGCGTCCGTTGTTGTGGGGTGACGGGAAGAAGTCGTTGCCGAAGCACCGCCCTTTCCTTTTCGCTGCCGTGCTGCCATCCCGAGCGCACGTCCCAGGCCTGTCTCTTGTGCCGCCGCCGCCAACCAAGTAAGTGCGCGGCTGCCACTTCCCCTTCCCACCGCCCCCCCCCCCCCCCAGGAATGGTCGCTCGTGGCCCTCCAGCTCGCGGCCGCCAGTGGAGCTCTGGCGAGACCACTTGGTGCGGGAGGGTGTGCGGCAAATGGCGGCCATGTGCTCTCCCTGGCCGAGCCTGCGGAGGGAGGCAACAGGGCAGGCTCAGGCGGAAGCCGCGGTGAGCCGTGGTGACGGAGAGGTGTTCGGAAGGACGTGGTGCCGCTTTCCTTAGGGAGAGGCATGGGGCACCGGCGGGGTTAGACCGAGCAGGCCGTTGAGGGATCAGTGCCCCGGAGCCCGGCGCGGGGCGGGAGCCACCGCGGCTTTGCGGCGTTAGGTGCTGTTGTGCCCTGGGTGGAGGCTGGTACGCGGCCTCGCGTGCCGTGGGGTTTCCTTTAGAAGCAGAGCAAAGCAGTTGTATGGGGAAAGTGAGGTTTGCTTCCCTGCGGTGAGAAGGTAAACTTCGTCCGAACATGGAACCGGTTCATTGGCACTGAAGATCCAGCTCTGTTGTTTTCCAGGATGCGTTACGTCGCAGCTTACCTTCTAGCAGTCCTCGGTGGCAACGAGTCTCCCACGTCAAAGGACTTGAAAAAGATCCTCGATAGCGTCGGCATTGAGACAGACGATGAACGCATGAACAAGGTGGCGTTGCCTCTTAATTCCAGATGATCATGGCCCAGTCGGCATCAGACATTGGAGCTGTTACTTTGACTTCGGTGTTTCTGTAGTTGGTTTGGTGTTGAACTAGTTTTGTTCAGACGTTCACTAATCATTGCATGTATGATTCCTAAAACACTGCCTAACTAAGAACTATTTTTGCAACGTGTTTGTGGAAGTCTGGCTTTCTTATTTAACACCTGTTCTCTGCAAAGATTCCGTCTGTTGTTGACTTCTGACCATTCAGTCTAATAATTTTCAAGGGTATAGTGGCTAACAGAGATAAATATGTATTGAAAATAAGTTCTGTTCAGTACTTAACATTTAATGTTTTGGCTTTTGGTCGGTACTGAGTAAAAGCTAGTGCTTTTGAAGGGCTGATATTCAGTAATAAGTTTTTACTTAGTGTACTACAAGGAAACATCTGTTTCTTCATCAAGAAACAAGCAAATTATGGACATTTAAGGTAGTAATAGTACGTAGGAAGATTTTGGAAATGAGTGCTGAAATGGTTGTGCTGCAAAACGGGCATTTTAAGAAGAGAATATCTTGATTAGAATGTGTCTTATGATAGAATTGACTTTCAGTCTTGTGGACTTGAAATAAATGGCCATTGGCGGGGGGTGGGGAAAAAACAATAAATGGTCTTCTCAACTGCCCCATACTTGTACAGGGAGTGTTTCCAGAGAGGTGGAGGCAAAACCAGGTTACTTTCCCAGTTGGAGACAGTGTTTTATCGTAAGCCTGACCAAATGATGGATTAACTGAGCTGATAGCGTCCATATTATGGTTTGGGATGTTGGTTTGAACTGGTGGTGCTCATGTTTAATGCCAGGTCTTTTGGCTTTGGCTTGTTTGTGTTTGTCAACAAATTAGTTGTTTTCCCTGATCCTCCAGTATCCAGAAGGCTTCTTTGGAATTTGTTTTGGTCATAATTAATCCTCTCTTGTTTGGGCTGGCTGTATCTTATACCAGTGTAAATCTAATGAAGTCCTAAAACTGCCTTCTTTCTGCATGAAGCAAGCACCCCAGCCAGTTGCTCTGTGTAAGCAGGAGATGCCTGTTAGAAAGTTCTTGGTTAAAGTCTTTTGGCGACCCCGCAGTGTTCAGCACTGACTCATGGTAGCAGGGACTTACCAGTAAGGTCTGTGGCATTTCTTTTTTATTTTTTTTTTAAGTGCTTCTTGCTTTAGCAATTTCTGTTGTGTTTTGCCTTCCTCAACACTGGTTATACAGCAAAGGTAGTAAAATTGAAGTTAGGACCGCCCGTTCCAGTGCAAGGATACAATAGCCAGCTCAGCTGTAACATTTGGTAAGGCTAGGAATAGAACCTTGAGGTTTTTGGTCTAGCACCCCGTGCTTCAGAGCCTCCCTGTGGGAATTAAGCAAGAGATGTTGACAGTCCCTCAGTGATTTACGGACTGTCAGTGGGGTTTCCTGATTGGCTCCCCAACATCTGTGTATCCTTCTTTCTGCAAGGTCCTTGGATTCGTTATAATTTCATGGTAATAGATTTAATGAAAAAGCTTTCACAGAAAGGTATAAAAGACTTAGCTGAAGTTTTAGTTCCAACATACCATTCCTTCCACTGAGAAACAAGGAATGTTGTGGCTGTATCAGCAGCAGGATGGAGGCATTTCACATGATGATTAATCAGTACCTGTTTAAATGTAGCTTATACTCACACTGGTTTGAAACTATTAACATTCTAAACTTAATTTACACAGGTTATTAGTGAGCTGAATGGAAAAAATATCGAGGATGTCATTGCTCAGGGTAAGTACAGTCTCTTGAGTGTCACAGATAGTTACCTCTACTACTTTGGTAACTTAGACCTGAGAACACAAAATTGCTGCCAGGTCCCTGATTATTCATCAGTTTAGCTCTGTGGTTGAGGACTTCCATTCTGGATCTCGGCTGAAATGCCTGAAATCCAGGTCCATTCTAATTCCCTGCAGGTCAGTGCCAGTACCTGCTGGGTTTCGCTTGTGGACCACATTAAACTGGAGAACTTAAGCATGCATGAGCTGACTGGTAGTCTGCTCATGATGTAGTTTTCTGGACATAGAATCATAGAATAGCTTGGGTTGGAAGGGACCTTCAGAGGTCATCTAGTCCAACCCCCTGCAATGAGCAGGGACAACTTCAACTAGGTGTTGATCAAAGAAAGAATTTGCTGTCCTTCAGATTTTCTGGGAGGTTTCTTTGTGTTTACCCATTTCTAGGCATCAGTTATGTAAAACAGGAAGTACAGACTGTTAAGTAAGCGTCAGCTTCCATTAAGGTTACAGTTACACCCTCTGTGGTTAACATAAGCCTCTCCAGTACACATCTCTTCTAGAGCTTTCCCAAATCTGGTGCATCCTTTTTTCTAAAGCAGGACTCTGCTGACTTGTGTAGAAGCTTGTGCTCTTACTTGCTGGCTTTTGCCAAAGCTGGAAATTTTAACATTGAGTATTAGGGCTAAAACAGAGATGAGGTGGTGCAAAGGTTTCTGATTAATGAATTTCTCTCTTTTTTTTTTTTTTTTGTAATGCGAGGGCATAGGCACAAGGGCATGTATTTATGTATTTGCCTAAAGGTGGTCAGGACTTGGCCTGGCCTTGCTGTTATGAGCAGTAACTGGATACTGCTATGCATGTGGTCTCAAGACCTCAGAGAGCCATTATATGTGCTTACAACACACTTAGGCTATCGCTTTCTGTAATACTTTAAATAAATAGTTTTCCTAGAACATACTGACATGCATATGAAATGTGTTTGTTTACTTGGCTAGTTTATTAGAGCTTGAAGTAATGGAATTATTTAGAAACTGATTCTCAGAAATTGGGATACAGGCAAACATACTGCGTACGTGACCTCTGAGTGCCAAGGGACCTTTGGTATGTGAAAGGCAGATGGCTGAGAATTAGCTAGCTTTCCAAAGACAAGCATAAATCAGAAGGCAGTTTGTTAATCTCAAAGGAGATGCAGTAGGGTTCATAGGATGCTGGAGAATTTGGTGAAAATACTGTCCTCTTTGCCATAAATAAATCTTTTCCTCTGTCCCTTCCTCTCCTGTCATGCCCTCACAGTTCTCTATACACTTAAAAAAATTGGGGAAGGAGGGGTGGAGTGGGAAGCCAGTGCTGCCTATATGTTATTTTTGAGGTATATTGAAATTATAAATTTCTGGGCTATTATGCTGTATTCAGAAAACATGCAGCTTTTTCTGTATGCTTAAAATTGGATGTGTTTGACACTATTTTTATACAATAGGTTTGGGGAAAAAAAACTGGGGCCTTTGTACAGCAGTAAGCTCACTAATAATAATAATAAAATAATGGTTTTGGTGTTCTTAGGCTAAACCTTTGTGAATCTTAAATCCTTTTTTTTTCACAGAACAGTTTATATTTTCTTACCATGGGTGCAGTCTCTTGTTCCTTTCAGCTAATAGTGACAGGTTCAGTCCATGAGTCACGGTATCTTTTTTCTACACTCTCGTGTCTCTTGCTTTCCACCTTACCTCTGTGATTGTGATGAGTATTTAAATACTTTCTTCTCTGACCCTCTCAGGTAATGGAAAACTTGCCAGCATGCCGGCTGGGGGAGCTGTGGCAGTGTCTGCTGGAGGGGGCTCTGCTGCTCCTGCTGCAGCTGCTGCCCCTGCTGCCGGTGAGTATTTGTGGAGAGGCATTGTTACATGCAGCTCCAGTTTTCTCTATAAAAATCTTACTGAGTCCAAATTTCAAAGCTTTCCACTTTGGCAGTTAACTATATGATTGAAGTGTAAGCTGAGGAGTTACTTCTCTTTGGGTAGTTGGAAGCATTTGCTCTTTATCCATCCTAAGATTGGTCTGGCTTAGAAGCAAGAATCAGACTTCACTGTGTAAAGTGCATCTCTTCAATAGTAGTGTCCATGTCTCCTTAATGTTTGTATTTGGCTATTGAAAGAGAATGAGATGAGCCATGGAGGCTAAAATACCAATAGTATGGAAGCTGAGAATGCCAAAACCTTTGTTTTTTCTGAAAGAAAAAATCTGTGGTGCAGAAAATTTAAATACTGACCATTGGCTTGGTCTTTTGTTTTCTTTCAGCTGAGGAGAAGAAAGAAGAGAAGAAGGAGGAATCTGAAGAATCTGATGATGACATGGGATTCGGCCTATTTGATTAATTATTTGTTACAGAGAAAATATTAAAATTCTTTGTTAAAAAAGGTGGGGTTTTTTTTAGTTTATATTATAACTATACAAGTGCTATTAGAGTCAGACAGCTGTTTGTAAGATAGCTCTGACACAGCTTTGATTTTTGTCTGAAACAGGTATATGAATTTTATGACAAGCCATGGGAGTCAACTGTTTTGAAAGTCCTTACGAAATGGCTATGCTTGTGTGAACCTGGGTGCTTGTTTTGAGACTGCTATATCTTAAACATTATGTGGAAGCTGAATCTACCTGGTGTTAACTGAAGTTCATCTCCATAGTATTTTGCCATCTTGATTACACAGGAAAGAGTCTCATCTATGGAGCAATAAAAGGACTTTATTTTTCAGGATCTGTTTAATCAATTCAGAAACATGTGAAACTGAATGGACAGCAGGTCTGAATTAGTCTTGTAATGTTATAATTTCAGAACTAGTTATAGTAATTAGTTTTTGTAAATATCTAAAAGTACTGATTCCATTGCTGTGTCAGATTTCCAAGATCTAGGGGCACCACTAATGAAATGCTTGACTATGCTTGCATATCATATTACATCTGCATGCTTACCATAGAATCTGTAACAAGAAAAAGGAAAACCTGCATTCTGCTCTTCATGGGCCACTGAGATGAATGCAGAGGTGCTCTTTATAATGAGTGGCTCTTCTGGGATAGCTGAACTATCAGGACATGAATCACCTTGATCTGAAAAAAACCTGTTTTGAGGAGAACGGTGTTTTGGTTTTTTTTCCAAGAACTGCAGGTGTGCTCAGAGGAGCACCATCAGCTTAAGAGGACAGTAAATTTTGCTTTATTTATGAGGTGTCTTCTGCTAGGAGGTGATGTACTGTGACTTCTACAGCATTTTTTGGCTGTCACCATACATAGGTAGAGTACAGATAGCACATGCGATGAGATTCCCATGCCAAGACTGCACACATGGTGTCAAGAAGAGACATCCTGGAGCAGTCTGTGCTGTGGACCTCTTCTAATATAGTTGTGGGGTTTTACTGGGGGGAAGAAGGAGAAAGCACAGATAGAGCTGGGTTGGTTAAGAGTCACTGGACAAAGCATGACAAGAGCTTCTGAGGGCAGATGGGTGAAATTCAAGTAGGAAAAACTTTCCCTATGGTGTACTGAGAGAAAATGCCTGTTACATCACAGAAGCCAAGGAAGGGAGCAGTTGAAGTATAGCTCCTCGGACCTCAAAAAGCAACTAACCCTTGCTGCCTTTAGGTGCCTGCTGCAAGAAAGAGTTACAGGAGGTAACACTGCCAGTACCTTTGATCTGCTTTGTCTCCTAAGTTCTAGTATGGTGATGTCTGTGGGAGTAAGGAAACTGCTCCTTGTTCACACTAATGCTCTGAGTTGTAGCAGCTGTGGTTTGGCACTGGAAGGGGTGCAGGTATACCTGTGTTTCTTCCTTTGCTGATATATCCATTTCACATCCCTGAAAAAGAGTGGTTCCTGGATGTGGTTTTACTGGGAGGTAACCCTCCCACCTACTCTGATACTGCCTTGTTTAGCTGCTGCAAGAGCAGAGTCAGTGTTTTCACAGGAAAGAACTGCCCTGGTGCACCACTCAGCAGGATTTTTCCATGCACAAAGGGATTTGTTTCAGTAGCATTGAGCTATTTCATGAGCTTTGCTGTGCCCAGGCCTGTGGGATGAGGCTGAAACCTGTGGTGCCAGCTGATGGCTTACTATGATGAGAGGAGGACTACATCCAGATAAACTTCCCCCTGTTCTTCGCTTCTTCCTATGACCTGTTAAGTCTTGAGTTATGGACCTGATACTGTGCTGGGTGTCCTCTTAGCACCTTTAAATTCCTTTCTGAAGTGCATAATTTTAATAAAAATATTACTCAATAAGCTTTGAGAAAGACAGCTCATTTGGTAAACTGTTTAGAGAAGAAACTTTCTGGGGCAGCTCTTTGTGAAAGCACTGAAAATACAGCACTTGTTGCACTGCCATGGGGAGCCAGTGTATTTTACATAAGCATCCTGTAGGTGTTCCTTGTGAAGGTGGTCAGGGGACAGGTCTACTCCAAGATTTCACATGCATTTTACAGAATTTGCCAAAACCTCTGCATGATGAACATTTCTTCTAAATGCAAAATCAAGGTATTTTAAGCTTTTTTTCCCTATATGTACCTCTACATAACAGTTGTCACCTGATAGCTTTGTACATGAGCAGTGATGTGCCTGGAAGTCTGTTGCAGACCTGTTCAGTGCTCTGGATGGAGTTCATCACTCTTCTGATCTTAGTGACCTTCAGCTATGAAAGATTTGGGATTCCTGCTCTGTGGACAATGTTCTGAATTTTTAAGTGTCACTGATGTCTTTTCAGACTTAGCAATAATTTCCAAAGGCAAGGGTAATGGTGGGGTGGATGTGTTGTGTTCAGTGATGCTCTCGGAGAAAGCTAGGGCCTATAAACACTTGGAGTGGTGGCCTAGTCCATCCCCTTGCAGAACCAGTATTAGCTAGGATAGATTTTTCCTGATTTTTATAAAGGCTCAAAGGTACTGAAGACAAAGGAAATGATAGCCTTGTGTCTGCGGGTTATGCTGCTAACTGATGTTAGGGGAGAGAGATTTATTTAGTGACGAGTTTGATGTTGGAACATGTGAGCTTCCCTCACTAGGGCACAAATGCTGTGCCATCTTGAATTGGCTATGACTGAAAATCATTCCTTACAAACAGCATGGGGCAGGGAAAGTGACATGACATCTTCACTACTTGGAAAGCAGGAAGAACACCCTGGACACTACTGGAAAGCAATAAAAAAAGTTCCCTGGGGGCACTGCTAAATTAACTGGTTTCACTCTTACTACTGAGGCCCAATTTTGCAAGCTGCTACATGGAGGCAACCCTGTTGAACTCAGTAGGTTTGACTTACATAGGGCAGAGGTATCTGTAGTAGCTTTCCTAGAAGTAACATTCAGTCCCAAGTGAGCAGGACAAGGGGACTGCTGCATTGCCTCAGAAGATGCTACTATGAAGCAAGTCCCAAGTATTTGCCATGGAATTGTCTGAATATGCAAACATCACAGATAAGAAAAAGATGTCAAAGTCAGGCTTTCCAGTGATGTTAACAGCATTCAAGTTGGGCCTCATGGCCAGTGCCCTGCCTTGCTGACCACAGGCAGCAATAAAGTAACGTACTGACGACAATAGTATAACGGACTGCCTCTCAGCTTCTCTTTAATTCTTGTTGGCCACCAACAACCTAAAAAAGAGATTGTTTGCTTGTACATTATTATTTTGTATGTACTATCCGCTGATCATTCACTAGACTGAAAGACAAGTGCAACCAATGGAGATTGCTTGAGAAACTGTCTCTGGCATCACAACATACAAGGGCATGTGTGAACTTGTAGTGTTCTGTTACATGTGAAAAACTGCCATGTAAATCTTGCTGACCTGGCTTACTGCAGAATTAGAAGCCATTGCAGGATTGTGGCAGCACTTTCTCAATAAGAAGATTAGTTTTTTGGGGTAATTGATTTTTGAGAAAAACCTGTTTGTTCCAGCCTGTTAGTGCCAGTACCGAGGCAGCACTCTGCAAGAGATTATAGTTCATGTGGTTTATTTCATTAACCTGTTTCAATAGGGCAGCATTAACCTCCTCAAATAAGGAACACCGAAGGCCAAGACAGAGCGATGAGGGTGATGTAAACAACACAGGACAAGATCGCTGTTGAGAAATCAAGTGAAACTAACCCCAGCATTGTTGGAGCATTGTTGTTTCTATTTTCCAGACACAGTGGGAGTCTTAAGGTTTGTGAAATGCTGAAAGAAGAGGAAGCAGTGCTGGCTCAAGAATTAATCTGTTATTGCGGTTACAAGTGTTAGGGAGGTATCTGCAAACAAGGTTCAATATTCAGTTTTGCCACAGATTTCTGCTAAAGTCACAGCCCATCAATTAGTTCTTCTGCAGCACAATCCCTGTTCTGGAAAATGAAAGACACAATGTTTTATTTGGTTTTGGCTACATGGAAATACCCTTGTGCGTCACCAGAAGCATGGGGTGAAAGCACTATGATTGTCTCAGTGTCAAGGGTCTTTAAGGGGGTCAAGGCTCAGGTGTGCCAATGCTCACTTCTTCAAGTGGAGGAGATGAGGGCTGACAAGGGTTATGCAATCACATCAAACAAAGGAATGAAGGAAATTATAAAAGCAGAGGTATGACAGGAAGAGAAAGAAGGGTGGGTATAGGGCAAAAACAGAGGACTTGAGGTAAACAGGGTTAATTGGTTAGTTGCTGCAGGACGGGGTGAATATGTATCAAAGGTAGGTGAGGTTGTGGGCTCCAGGGTAGGACCTGGAGGGAAGGTAAGGCTGGACTCCCCTCTGTCTGATGGAGGGAAAGAGCTAATATTTAATTAAAAAGTACTCTGTCTGGAGAGGCTGGAGTACAAGGCCTCAACTGAGCTCAAATATTGGATTTATACAAGGGTTACTTGCTAAATTGGGTTGATTTGATCAGCTGACTGTGAGGCAGTAGAGAGCTATTCTTACAACCTCTATGGAGTGGGTACCAGCCTTTGGGGTGCTGGTCCTTTGAAAGGACACATGGAAAGAACAGGAGATGGGCTACTTGGATGACCTCTGCTGACGTTAAGTCGTGAAATTCCTGAGGGGAGGAAGGCTGAGCTTTGATTAGTCTGAGAGCTGTTAAAGACAAGTGTCCCAAAAGAGAAACTTCTAACCAGTTATAAGAAAACTAATGCAAATAGATTTATGACAAGATGAATTAAGGTTTGTTTGGTTTTGGTTGTCTTTTTTTTTTAACTTTGGTAGAAAGTGCTTTTACCACATGTTGATTCTATTAAAAAAAAAAAAAACAAAACCCTATTGCTTTTTGGTTTGTCCCCCTCCAAACCTCCTTCCTGCTGATCTTGCTTCCTTGCTTTGAGTTGAACAGCTGCTTCTCTTGCTGTGCTGATCCTACTGATGTCCCTGTAAATTTTCACACTTCTGATCGTTTGAATGACTATAGTCTGCACTGTTTATGACAAGGGTATCTTTCCAGCTTCTGCAATCTATTTTGATCTCCTAATAGCACTGGCCTCTCACTCAGTGCTGCTCTGTGGGGAGCTGATATGCTTGTGCAGAAGCACTACTGGAAATTGCAGTTGCCTTGACCGAAGGGTAAGTGTTTTGGTGTGCTCAGAGCATGTGAAGAAAAATAAGAGGTTAGCAAAGATAAGTTTTGGTGAGTTTAGAGACAGAGAAAGCTGTGAAGAGAGAGGGGCCGCCTCTCTCTCTTTCTTGTGCTGTGGCGAGCCATGCCCCCCTCTGGCTCCTCAGCTTTTTATGAAAGAGGAAAGCTTTTACCTTCCCTTCATGTTTCTTCCCCGTCTCCCGAAAAACAAAGGGCTGGGGGAAACTCCAACTTGGAGTAAAAGCTGCCAAGAAACAGTATGTTTTGCGAGGGGAAGACAGCCCCAGTACACAACGAGGTTTGGGGTGCTGCGAGGACCCTTAATCCTCCTTTCCCCTTTCTCCTCCAAGGAGCCTCTGACACTGCAGTGTGGCGCTGGTACGGCTGCTGCGCTTGAACGGCCAGCGAACAGCCGCAATGCCCACGGGGGCCGCGGCTGCGACCGGAGTTCACCGGAGGAAGGGTTGGAAGGAGGAGCCAGCTGCTTCCCGCCCAGGGCCGGGGCCTGCGGAGCTGAGAGGCAGAGCCGCCCCGCCCGCCGCGCCGTCTCATATAAGCTGGGCAGCCGCTGCCGGCAGCCCCGCGGGAAACTTCGCTGTGCCGGTGACCGTCTTGTTTGGCAGCAGCGCTTCCCGGCTCTCGCCCTCCGTCCCGCCCGCCCAGGGGCCGTGCGACTCGAGGAGAGCCCCGCGGCTTTCCGTCGCGGCTGCTTCTTCCCCTTTCGGCCCCCCTCCCGCCTACAGCGGGGCGCGGAGGCCATGTTCCCCCCGGACTCCACCTGGAATATCTCCTTCGCCGGCTGCGGCTTTCTGGGGGTCTACCACGTCGGGGTAGCCAGCTGCCTGCAGGAACATGCCCCCTTCCTCGTCGCCAACGCCAGGAAGATCTACGGCGCATCAGCCGGGGCGCTCACCGCCACCGCCCTCGTCAGCGGCGCTTGCCTCGGTAAGCAGTACACCTTGTTGTTACTAATTTATTAATTACCACAGCGGCGGGGAGGAGTGGGGTGGTGGAAATAGCGCTCCGCCCCCCTCCTCCCCCTTCCGACATGCGAGCGGCGCTTTGTTTGTAAGGCCTTACCTCAGTGTTCCTACTTCTCAGTGTCTCTGCGCGCCTCAGGCTGAGGTCCGAGGGTGATGCAGGAAGGTAAAGTAGAGATACAGGGGTCCTAACCGGGCACCTGGCCTCCCTGAGATGGAGGGAGGGAGCCGCTGCCCTCCTCAGAGCAGGCGTCAGGAGGTCAGCAGTGGTTTTGACCCCCACCGTAATAAAAAGTGGACTTGTGGGGCTTAGTTCGTGAATTTGAGCTGTTGGTGAGGAGGTGACCTGTTACCCTGTAGTAACCTGCTCTTAGTGTCTGTGAGCAAGAGGGAAGCAGCTGAGGATGGAGATGTTGAGCAGTGTGTTGCATGTGTGGATTAGAGTTGAACAGCATCTCCAAGAAGCCAGGAAATCTATCTTTAGCCTTTCTTAGCATCTTTATTTCTAGAAGAGGGTTATGCCTCAGGATGTAGGGCGTTAGGGAATTTTCCTGCCCTCTGCAACAGCTAGATCTCCAGTTTAGCTAGATGTTACTTCTGTTTTCAAGTTACAGAAGAAGCTTTTTAAAAGTTAACCTCTGAAGCAGGCACATGGCATAGTCTGTCCCTGCTTAGGGCATGTCTAGAGAGCAGCTGAAGAGAGTGGTGTGTGGTGTTTTGTGTGCTGGGGGAGAAATCACGAAGCATGCTAGAGGCTGTACTTGGAAGCTTTTGAGAATAATCAATTCAGAAAAGTATCTTGAAAGGGGAATGTGGTGTGAGAGAATCAGGCATATCTGTTTAGTCTCAGAATTAAGAGCTTCTCCTAGAGCTGAGTGAAACCAGAGCTGTTTACTACTTGAACTCCTCTTGCCTTCATCACAGGTGTCTTTCTGCAGCAGTCCCAGCTCTCTGGGGACACGTAGAGTTTTGAGATGTAGCCTTCATGCAGCAGAAGCATTTTCTGTGTAGTTAGGTTTGAAGTTTATCTCTCCTTAGCATTTTGTTTACAGAAATGTCCGATGAAGTGTAACTGCTGCTCCTGGAGCTTGATGGGAAGCTGTTCAAACCCCAGGCTGGGATCTCAAAAGCTGTAGTTATGCCATGGTGGAAGCATGCTTGCTTTTATCATGGACAAGGGAAAAGGCCTCCTCTAGTCCGTTCTCATGCAGGGATCCATTTGTTGGTAGCTGCTGGGGGGTTAGTTGCTTTACTTGCTGTTCCTTATGTTAAAGAGGTGGCTACCAATCAGTTCCTTAACTGGGTGGTCCCTGTGCTAGTCAGGGGTATGGCATGAACATGAGACAGGCTGGCAGTAGTGCCCAAATCCTTTGCCTTGCTCAGAAGCCATTACTGTGCTGACCAAGTCTGTTGTTATGTCTGTGTTCTTGCTGTTGTACGTCCAGAGCACCCATGGTGTGCTGAGCGTTGCCCTTGGGGAGTTAGCCTGATAGAGAGCATTCTGCGAATCCAGGTTAGAACAGGTTTTTCCTACTCCCTGTGAGATACAAGGGGAGGTATGATAAAGAGGACAGAGTTAGGGGTCACCTAGGCAGCATTTGCCTCCTTCCTGAAAGAGAGCAAACCATGCTGTTTAAAGCCAGCCAAATCTTGGATCTTGGGTGTTCAGTTTCTGGTTTAAGTTCGGCTTCTCTGTGATAGTTTTCTTTTGACTCTGCCTGTGTGGTTGGCATATATCTTGGGTAGAGAGCAGCTCTAAGCAACAGAGCTCACTTCTGAAAGTAAAAGCAAATGAGGTGCTTCGTTGTGGCATGGGATCACTGTACCTTGTCCCTGTTGTAAATCCTCCTGACAGGGCAAATTCCAGCCTGAGGTCCAGGGATTAGAGTGAAATCATAGGGAAGAAGAGAATGATTAGGCAGAAGGTACTGCTGCAGCCTGTGCTAGGAGAGCGGTTCATCCTAGTACAGGCTGTTGTAGGATCCTGAGTATGCGTGTTTGCTGTGCAGCTGGTTCTGCCTGAGAGTAAGCATTATAGCCTGTGGGCTTTGAAACTTACGGCAACTGCTACTCCACACTGTCTCTTGCCCTGTCCCTCAAAGTGGAATGCTGAATAGTGTCTCTTGGTGCATGACAAGTAGAGGGGAGTTTTGTGGAAGCATTGCTTATTTGTGTGCATGTAGATGGATTTGGTTGCATCTGTACTTTGCTCTGATTTCAGTGAGACTATACTGTGCAAAGATAAATACTTCCTGGGGAGGTGTCAACAAACATCTTCCTTTGGGTTTTTTCTTTGGTTCTGATCCTTTGAGACCCTGATTAGGGAGAACAGAAATTTTCCTGGACTTCAGTGTGCAAGATCCCACCTAGTGGTTTCGTTTCCAGCTTTTTTTCTTCTTGCTTTTGCATCTCTTCAGCTGGCTTCTGAGCTAATTCTGCCTTCTCTCTGAATTAAGGCCACACTGTCATTTTTTGTATATGGCAGTAAGGCTTTGCTATGGGCTAACACTGAACTGAAAGCCCTGACCAAATGATCTTCAGCCTTGAGAACTCACTATGGGCTTGAAAGGCTGATTTTGGAATACCAAATAAAACATTTTTAGGCATACATGCTAGCTAGGCAGAGGATATTATTTCTAAATTAGAGGCCAGGAGGTATTTATGGTCTGATATGACCACACCTAGCTCTTGTTAAACACTTTACCATTAAGCCGTAGTGATCTTGGATTTATTCTCTGAGGCTGGAACAGTGGTATTGTCCCACATCTGAAGTACTCTCTCCAGCCTTGAGATTCTTCTTTTCACTGGCATGAAAAAGCATTGCTATTTTTCCACTGGAATAATTTCTGTGGCTGTTGAAGTGCACCTGGCAAAGTCTCGTGTGTTTGTATAGGAGTTGCTTGATTTTGCATACTGCAGTGTTGGAGTATGAATCACTTATTGTCCTGAGGGTTTTCTGGAAAATGGCCTTCTGTCATGCCTGTGCGTTCTCTTGTGGCTGTTGGAGTCTAGCACACCAAGAAATGCACCTCTGTATGCTAAGCAAGTGAAAAAGTCCTTTTGTGCTTACTTTGTGTTCTCTTCCTTATGCACGCCTCAAATCCTGCAGCTTCTCACAAACTCTAGGCTTGGAGCTCTGAGGATATTTACCTATATGGAAAAAAAAAACCCTTAAGGCACTGGCCTGGATGAGTAAAACTGGCTTATGTGACATGACAAGACTGTCCATTTTCAGTCATGAGCAATGTTAGTTAAAATGCAGTCACTGTTGGACTTTTAAGTCTTTAATACAGAATAGGGGATGTGTTTTTTTTAAGGATCTTGAATCACCTCACTCTAGTGAGCTGCATGGGATTTGGTGTGCCTGGTTTTGAAGTGCAGCAGCCTGGATGAATGATGGGATATGAACATTTAATCACTGAAAATCTGATTTAGAGTTGATGTGAAGGTCCTGGACTGTGCTTCCTACTCGCAGTTAACCAAGAGCATCTGAATTGTCTGTGTAGCATGTAAATATTGTCCTATACAGCCCTCATCTTGAGGGTGGGTTGGAACTGCTGAAATGCTGCTTTTTGGGGGGAAGAGGTAGGTTCTGCTGTCAGAGGCAGAGCTGGCCATGAAACCTGCATCTGTGGGAGCTAGCTGTTCTCCTTCAGCATGACAGTTTCAGCAGAAAATGATAAAGCAAGATGAGGGAATGTTTCAAGCACTAAGAATACAGAAAGGAGTCTGTCTGCTGGATTGAGCAGTGTTGTGTAGGGTATTCTCTGGAGAGCTCTTCCTGGGTTGCTGACAGGATTTCTTATTTTTTAAACTGGTGTCTTAGCCAGGACTTGTGTTGGGTTCAACCTGGGATGAAGTAATAGTTATTTGACATTCAGGTTTGCTTGTCAGCTGTCACCATGTGACCACCAGGAAATAACGCTGCTGAACTCCAAACTTTTTCCATTAAGTAGCAGGAGGGGGAGAGCTAAAAAAAAAACAAACAAAAACAGCCAAAAAAAAAACCCCAACCACCAAACCCCGTTTTATCTTTTGAAATTGAGACAATGAATGATAGTAGTATCTTAAATGTTGTGCTCCTGAAATTTGATTATGTGCATGCAGATGCTTAAGGACTAGCCATGGAGAGTATTTTCTCAATGTGTGTGGACTCCTAACACCAAATCACAGACTGATAGAGGGAAATAAGTCTCTATGGAGTCCTCAGAGCAATGCCAGTTTATGCTGTCCAAAGTGTGACTCATGAAGCTTGATATGTAGTGCTGTCTCGCATGGCTGCGTGAGGAGATCCATAGGTCTCCCCAGGTACGTGAGGGAAAGCTTTATTGCTCAAATCCTTCCCTGCGCATGAGGTTGCTGCTTGCATCTCTTCCAGAGGCCCTAGCTGGGGCAAAAGTTGTTGAGCTCAGCAGCTCCAGCACTGTCAGTGAAAGTAGAAGCACCTTTATGTACATACATGGAGATGTGGATGTGATTCATGGGAAGCCTTCTGGTGCTCCCTGGAAGCGGTAAAGCTGCTGCTTCTTTCTGTGGTGGAAAATAGAGGTGCATGGATGTTCCATGCTGACATAGTTGGAAATGTCCATTGGCTTGGTGGAGAAGCTGCTGTGCCTGGATGGGTGCCATCAGTGGTCACAGGGCTGCAGGCTCGGGTGTCCAGGTGAGTAAGATGGTATCCAGCGTACTGTGCAGTACCTTTTTCTGGGAGGGAAAGAGCTTGTTCCCACTGCCTCCTGGCTCTTTCCCATGAGGAAAGGTGCTCTTGCAGGTACCTTGTTGGATGAGCGCAAGGGAAGCCAAGCAGCTGCTTTCAGTGAAATGCATATTCATAGCAGTGCATGTGATTATTCTTTTGTCACCCCACACAGAGAGGAGGTGTGCAGAGCAGCTTGGTGCCCAGCCTTGCTCCATCAGCCACAGCAGCAGCTCTGCAAACAGCACAAGCCATCTTTGTGTGGTTGC